CGATGCGTCGTATTTTGCTTGTAGGTTGACGATCTCCCAGAGCTCGTGGAATATCTTTTTTATGCATGTGGCGACATCGTGCCAAGACTTGGTCGATGAGGGAAATGTTTCGCTTCGCCATGTAACTCTGAAGGGGGCAACGCTTCTGAAGTCGTCTTTCCTGGCATCTACGGAGTTCTGAGTTATGCGGGTCAGAGGCAATTGCATGCGGAAAACGGGCTGCTTGGTGTGGTGAGATTGTGCAGGCCACGGGGTGATGCTGAACGTGGGCTGATCAGGATCGTTGCCAGTCCACTGTCTGATGTCCCAACCTTCAAGACGACAATTGGGGTATCGCACATCCTTCCCATGCGCCCAGAAGCTCGGCCGCCGACTTTGAATTCTCCAATCGGGAACCCAAGAAGGCACCATATCCCGCTCTTCTCGGAAAACAGGGCGGAGAGACTCGAGGCGAGCCGACGCCTCTCCAAGCACCCACGGTAGGTTTCCTGCTTCCCCGATGCTACGACCAAACATAGTATAGATGTCTCCGACGCTCGCTCCCTCCTCGTAAATGACCATTATCTGTGGCCGACGGACTCGGTGAAGCAGGGCGCCATTATGGGCTGTACCGTCGAGGGCTCGGCGAAAAGTTGCTAGGCCCACTTCTCGAATGTCTACATCCTCGGCCAGGGAGGCGAGTGTAAACACTCTATCTCTCGGGTCCGCACAGTCATACTGATCAAAAGATTGCATGAGTTTGCAGATGCTACACTCTTTTGTATAGTAAGGCGATTTGTTCCCATAGCTGTCTCCATGGAGAACAGTCCGTATCCAGTACATCTGCCAGACAGACGCGGCGCGAATTGCGAGGGTGGACGAAGCTTCGCCGCCTTTCTTGTAAAATATGTTGTAAGCCAGATAGCAAACGCTTTCAAAGTTCCGATCGTCGTTTGCAGAGAACATATTGGTGGTTTTATTGAGCACAGCCTCCTGAATGACCCAACGCCGGCGGAACCAAGGGTGATCTAGGAGGATGTAGTCTTCCGGTTCCAGAGACAATTTGCGGTACGGGTCCCCATCGCCTCCTAGAGCTATCTCTCCTAGCCAGATCAGCACCCCGGCGGCGTCTCGGTAAATGGAAGACATTAATGGAATGTGGTGCGCTTTTTCATTCGGGTTGCCCTGATCGATACAGACAGCGTCTGCCCAGAGACGCCGAGTCTTAGCAGAGCTGGAGGAGTCTCTGAATCGTCGAAGGGCTCCATCAAGATTCGGGGTGATGGGTACTCGGCTGAGGGTGGGTTGGCAGTTGGTTAAGGCCGGAGAGTCCACAGCCTCGTCAACAACGATGAGATCGCACGTGAATTCAGGACGGCCCCAGGTGTAAGAGATAGCCTCGTATGTCGCTTTCGCCTGTGCCTGTTCGACAACGTGAATCCGACAACGGAGATCATCTGATGGATCAGCTGCCGGGAGGAGTTCAAGGATTCTTGTGTGTGACCCAGATGGCAAGCGGGAATGGCAATATCGAGGCAGGTCTCTGCCTGGCATATCCCGTGGTGAAGCCATGAGGCTGAGATCGCCTATGGCTGCAGGCTTTTGCGTAAGGAAACGAGTGCTATAGTATTTGTGCGTTTGAAGATCTTGGTGTCGAAAATAATGGTACGAGTTGGTGCGGCGTTGGCGACTTTTGGAGCAACATGCGATGTCATCCAATAGCATCCCATAGCATGCGTTTGATATCCACCAACACAACCCGAAAAGTGCTTGGCATGTCAGCATTATGCAGCCTTCGTTGATTGTAGCCAGTGACGGTTACTACAGCTATATGATATAGCATCCAATCACAGCACTAAGATCCGACACTCAGTCTGCATATCTGACAGTATGTTTTCATCAGAACATACATAAAGGACCTGATGCATGATTTGTTACATGGGCATGGCATCAAGTTGACAGTCACAGACTTTTACGCACTACCGTTAGTGATAACCACCTTCTCTTCACTTGATGCCGCTGTCTCTTTCATTACTCTATTCTTACCCATGCATCAGGCTACAATGGTATACAGATGAAGCTCCTCTCACAATGCGCCCTTCTTCCCAACAAGACATCCATCCTCATGGCTTGCCGTCCACTTTCGCCGAGCTAACATCTGGATAGACATCAAACCTCCTCTGCGTGTTAACAGGAATGTTCCTCCTCGCCTCCTCAATCTTCGTGCCGTCCAGCTCCCACGCAACAGTCGTCTCCCCCTCCTCAGCCTCCGTCAACACGTTCGCCATCGGGTCGATGATGAGACTGTGGCCCCACGCATGGTACGTCGCGTCCATGTCGCGCGCAGGGCTGCACATGGCCACATAAATCTGGTTATCCACCGCGCGCCCTTGGCCCAGCAGGCGCCAGTGCATCGGGCCCGTCGTCAGGTTGAACGCGCCCGGGTACACGAGCGCGAAGCACCCCTTGCGCGCCGCGATCATGGCCAGCTCCGGGAAGCGGATGTCGTAGCAGATGGCGACGGAGATCTTGCCGTACTCGGGCAGGTCGACGACCGTCACGCTGTCGCCGGGGCTGAGCACCTCGGACTCGCGGAAGGTGATCTTGCCCGGGATGTCGATGTCGAAGAGGTGCACCTTGCGGTGGCTCGCGAGCAGCTCGCCCTTGGGCGAGAAGATGAGGCTCGTGTTGTAGAACTTGCCCGTTTTGGTGTCGAGCTCCGGGACCGAGCCGCCGATGAGGTAGGCGCCGCTCTCGGAGGCGATGGCCGCGAGGGCGTGGAAGCTCGGGGACTGCTCCTTGGTCGGCGGCGAGGGGAGCAGCGTCTCGGCGTACTTGGGGAAGTAGTCACAGCCGTAGGGCGAGTTGAAGCACTCGGGCAGCACGACGATTTTGGCGCCGGCGTTGGCGGCCTCGAGGACCTTGGACCGCGCGTTGGCGAGGTTGGCGGTCTTGTCGGCGCCGGAGGCGAGCTGGATGCAGGCGAGCTTGACGGGCTGCTTGAGCACCGGGGATGCGGAGGTGGCCATGGCGCGGAACGGGACGAGACGCTGGGAGAACGGTTTGAAGGCGGACGATGTGAGGTGGTGGAGGGTTCGGAGGGCGAGGCGCATTGTTGTTTAAGGAGAGTGGTGTGTATGGCCCGGTTGACGTTGGGAGGGGACGGAGTGATGGTGGGGGGCGGTTGGAGGCGACGACATTGCGGGGCGATAACGGCGGGGTAGCTTCGGTGCGGTACGGCATCGGAGCTCATCCCTGCTGCCGGGCCGTTGGAAGACTGTGCAAGCACTGTCGCTGGCTGGGAATCCGACGGGCGCCACTACAGTGCGGATTGGTCGGACAATTGTCCGAAGCGTCGGGAAATGATGTGATCGGGGCGGCTCCGATGAATCGGCCTTTTCCAGTCCCGGCCGACGCTCCAGAGCATTCCTGCGGCGGGATGCGACATAGGGCGCAGACTACATGTCCAAGTTCGGACCAACAGAGATGATGACTACATACCTTGTTGGTATTGACTTGTTATTGCCCCTGTTCATTTCCACGATCCAGGTCTGGCACAGCCCTTATTCCATTCGCCATCACGCGCCTTCCTACCCATTTTACAAATCATCGCTTCAACGATGCCGCTCACCACCAGAAACTTCTCGAGATGGATTGCTTGATGAATGGGGCCGTCAAAGCGTTTGCAATGGGGGGTCACGCGACAGCCACCACCATGTTCTTGTTCCCATAACTCATCTCGCTATATTTATCCTCGTCTGGTGATGAGTGTTGGGATGTGACACCTTCATCGTCCACCACAAAGCACAACAACACACAGCCACCTTCATGCGACGATTCACCTGACGGCAAGGAGCCGAACATGTCCAGCACATCCCCATCTGCGCAACTGGCCAGTGACCACCTTCGGCACACCGTGCCGACGAATTATCTGCCCTTCACAGCCGCCTCTCACGGCAACTCATCATGTTCGTCCGTTGGAAGCCCCATGAAACGGGTCTTGTAAGCTTATATACTAGGATAGACGGTACCCGAAACTATGACAGCTTCCCTTGCACAGATACCTCCGTCAACGTCGGGGACCGACCGCCAGGGCAGCTCCGCCTTCACGGGTACCTGGTTGAAGACACGGCTGGTCCCATCTGGCCGGGTCGCGGGGAAAATTTAACATCTTAAGGTTAGCCAGAAGGGGTGGTGTCAATGCAAAGCCACAATGCATGAGACACGCCATGGCACACTCTGCGAAAGAGACTCTCTTGTAGCCCGGAAATCTGGTGTGTAAATGCTTTTTTAACATGTTTTGTCCAATTTTCCTTTCGAGTTTAGATGCCTGCCTGCCTCGCAGTCGTGCCATTTCCACCCTTGGCACTACAGTCCACACACATCTCTTCTTTTCTTCTTGTTCCAAACATGAGGACAAAGCTTGAAACAAGGCATTAGGTATCAATCCATCGCACGCAAAACAGAATCCAGCTCGGCCTCTCCCATGCTTTCGTTTCGTCTCATGTGAACCACCCTTCGCAACCTGCTCCGTCTTTCCCCCACGCCATACCTGCCGTTGAACCTCGAAGCAGGGGCCATGGCCTACCCACTGCTCTCTGCCGGCCTTGGTTGCGCGCTGTCAGGCTGTCGCATATTGGCGATAATATGCAAAAACAAAGCTGCGTAACTACCTGCCGCGTTTTGCAAGACTCCGTTCGGTAAATAACGCCTGCATATGGACAATACATAACCAGAAAATAGACACAAAGGAAGCGGAAGTAATATACATCCAATTCGGTGCTCTCCGAGTCTGACTCAAACTCGCTCAGAGCCTGCGACGCTGTGGCTGGGCTGAATGCTCGCAGTGGATCAAGTGACGACGCCGAATGTTCGGAATGGATGGCGCCGCGAGGGGCGGGTTATGGACCTCGGAGGCCGCGGGTATCGATTAGGGTCGGCATGTTTGGTAGATGCCTTTTAGGAGTGTGTTGATATAGACGGATGCCAACGAGTGGCGCAAAATTATCGTAGATCCGGCCTTATAGTATCAGCTGCTTGAGGTTGCGCTGTATGATCATGTCCTGCACTGAGCCCATAGTAATCTTGAGCAAATTTGTGTCGGTCGCGTTCGTGAAATGGCCGTAGATCTCCTTCTCCGTGTTTCGGTTCAGGGCACGGAACTTGTCCAGAAAGTACTTGCTGGCAGCCTTCCAGTCGTCGGCAGGTCCGTGGTAGTCGGTGAAGCCGTGTGATGTGATGGGGTTGGTGGGCAGCTTCTCCTTGAAGAGATCCATCTTGTTGAGGAACAGAATCAGGGCAGACTTGGTGAACCAGTGCGAGTTGGCAATTGACTCCCACAACATGAGCGCCTCGTTCATTTGGTTCTAGCAGTGCAAGTTAGCAACGATACTTCACAATCACAGCGGGGCACACCTACGCCGTCCTTGTCTTCGACCAAGCACTGGTCATATCCAGAAATGGCGACGAGGAAGAGCAGACAGTTGACGTTCTCGAAGCAGTGGATCCACTTCTTTCGTTCTGAGCGCTGGCCGCCAACATCGAACATGCGGTAGGTCAGTTGGCCGAGGTCGAAAACCGTTTCCGTGATACCCGTAGTCCTCAATCTCGAGCGAAGCAAGTCCTGGTCCGTCGGTACGTAGGCATCGCTCCAGATGCGGTCCAAGTCATCACAGAAGCTACAACATGGTCAGCAGCAGGTTCCAGGGTTGTCGCAGCCGGCGTAGGTGACTTACTATGCCAAGTTGTCGTGGAGTGCGAACTCATTGCCCTTTGCGATGGCTTGCTTGACGCCGCCGTCAGTCCAGAGCTCCTTGATGGGCTGCAGGTAGTCGCGCGGGAGGGGATCTGAAGCGTTGATCTCGTGTTCCACCAGGATGTGCGCCATGTGTTTCTGTCAGAGACATTGCATGTTAGTCTAGTCGTTCTTCTTTCACATGCGACAGCGCCGCATTTCGAATGCGACAGCGCGCAATTGGCGTATTCGGGTTATGCTTGCCTCGTTTTCTGGGTTGCTAAACTCGATGTGCATCTCGGTCATGGCGTCTTGGATCAGGCGGAAGGACTGTACGATATTGTTGAAAACAACAGGCTTCCACTCGAGCTTCTCGTTTTTGCTGAAACCTTGGGCGTAGATCAATTTCATCTGCTTGAGCACGGTCGACTTTCCAGATTCTCCGGCACCTGGGAATCGCAAAGCGGTTAGTGAATTGCAGACACGACTATGTTGGCTGTTATTGCGACGGCGTACCCAGCAACAGAAGCTTCACTTCTTTCGACATTTTCTTTTCGTCCTGGCGGATCAAGCGGTCCAGGTCGCGCGAGCGGGCAGCGCCGCCATCATCCTTCGATCGGCCCCCGAAACACATGTTGTACCAGTTCGACTCAATTTTGGCGGTGATTAAAGAATAGGAGGGGGAGAATTGGCGCGGACGTGAGGTAGAAGGAATGCCGGCCCTCTAATGCAAAAGAAAAGGTGGTTCAAGTCGCAGGCTGGGCGTGGCGGGCCTCAGTGATTGTGAGGTGATTCTCGATGGCGAAGGCGAAAGCGACGGAGGAAAACAAGACTGCAGGCGGGCAGTCTGAGAAGGAGGGTTGAGGGGTTGTTCGCGTCGGGGAAGAGTCGTCCTTTTTGTTGTCCGAGGGCGTTGGATGTCAGGCAGATCAGACGAGGAGAAGCAAAGCCAAGAGAAAGCAAAGCAGAGCAGGCCAGGGACAGGGCGCGCTCGGGAAGCAAAGGACTGGAGCCGACTCGACTTGCAAGAAGAGGCCGAGTGTGTTGTGAGGTGTGTATGTGGTGGTGTTGCGGAAGCGGTCAGTCACCTGGATGAGGTTGAATCCAAGGTGGTTTGACTGGCGTAGAGTAAGGAACGTCGGGGGTTGAGGAAATGGGCGGGCGAAGAAGCTTTTGTCGGTTTTAGGAGTGCCACGGCCAGTTTAGTAAAATGCGCTAAAAACCTTGGGGGCGTTCGTAGTGGACGCCCTGTGGGCTGCGGGTTGGCTAATGTTAATCCTGCAGCAGAAGAGCCCAGCAGCTCGACTTGCTTCTGTTTCTGTTCTGTGTGCTGCCCGGGGGCGAGGCCAATGGCGTGTCAGGGGAAAGACTAAAAGTGCTAGCGTGGGCAAGTGAGAGAAAGGAAGACGGGCAAAGTAGCGATGAGGCGAGGAGGACTGGAGCCAGGCAATGGCAAGGCAAGGTGGGTTAAGTTTGGTTTGGCAAGAAGGACAGACGGAAAGGGCGAGATGAGACGGGATGTCCAGCTCAAATTGGCAGAACGGGGAAGTTTGAGAGAGAGAGAGAGGTAGAGAGGTAGAGGTAGAGTAGGAAGTGTGAGAGAGAGGACCGGGAGATGATGGGAGAAGAGATGTGAGGACGCACGAAGCAAGCACTGGACAGGACAGGACAGGACAGGACAGGATAGGTAGGCACGAGGGAAAATGCACCTCGGCGGATACCTTATGATACGTACTGGGCCTTCAGATTGGATAAAGTGTCTGCGAAATAAAATAAAGAAATACATGGAGAAAAAAAAGAGTAAGGATTATGGTACACGGTTCATGGCTCATGGTGGTCCATCCATCATTCATCAGTGCAGTTCAGTCCAGTCCAGCCCATGTAGACTGGGGGCAGACGGGAGTCGGGGAGAGAGACACAGAGAGCAATGGAAGCAAACAAGGACCTGCTGCTGCTCTGTGTCCAGGTGCCCCAGCACAGGTCGGGGGAGGTTATGGAAGGTAGCTGTTGCTGGCCTGGCCGTACCCTTCAGCTTGACTCCTGGCTGCAGGGTACAGACATGTCGCGTTCAAGGTACTTTGTTTGGATAGATTCCATGGCCATCCCGGGTTCCAAGTTATCAACGGCAGGAACAACACAAAGAGGCACAATTTCGCCGCTGCAAAACACGGACATTTCAATCCATCGAACGCGACCACGGCGGAGACGCTGGACGGGCATTGGGAACGCTGAGTGGAAGCCCACCGCAGTGGACATTGGAAAGGCCCAACAGGTGGACACTGGCGGATGGCACCTCGCCTTTCTTCCACCAGGTCCAGGTCCACCTGCACCTTCAGAGGCTTCGATGGAACACTGCGCTGCTGTGTGCGGGCGGGCGAACAGGAACGTGAGGAACCTCTGGACCGGGGAGCTGGTGGTACCTCTCCCACAGGTACGTACCTGGTCGCCGGTAAAGAGTGCGGTACGTGCCCAGGGTCGTCGACATGCCCGCTGCCCCAGAGCTCGCGGACGGCACGGCAGTGGGGCGGCCCCTGGCGTACCTGCCCTGTACCCGCTGCCTGATTCGTTGCCCAACCCTTGCCTGCGCATGCCGCAGAAATGCGCTGGGAAGGACTTGGCAGGTACTTGCATCCGTGTACTCCAAAGTTTCTCTGCGACTTCCTTGCACTTGCATTAGCAAGCAAGCCACCTCCAGTTCCCCGTCATCCTCACCACCACCGGCCGCCTACCGTCTATCGCACCACCACACCCTCCCAGCGGGACCGCCTTGTTGATGTTTGCTCCCTCATGCTTCTGCTGCCGTATTCTCTCGTGAGAGAACAATGGCTTTCCCCTTTTGACTGAGACAGCCCGCGGAGGGGTCACCAGATATGCTTCTCTCTCATCTCGACAGATCTTCGTGAAAACCGCCTGCCGAGTCGACTCGTCATTTTGTTTCAACAGCTCTACCGACATATTACAGCGCAATGCCGCAGTCGCATGGCAAGTCGGTCGTGTCTTGTCTGCACGAAGTACCGACTCCGTCATCCAACCCAACGCAACACGCCCAACCAACAAAGACAAACATTCCAGATAGACATCAATGCGACCCTGCCAACCCTGGCCAACGCACCTGCAGGATACGCAGCACTGGCAACTGCACTGCCATATGGCGGCGCCTACCTGCTGCATCTGGCACTCTCACTTTCCTGTTCTGCTGAAAGGAGAAAGGGGCAACTCTCTCTCCTCGCTACCAACCACATTGCGTCAAATCCTGACCATAAGACCTGAGGTGCTTGCCAGCTCTCGCCTTGGAAACGTGCTTTGCAGAAGGCGGCCCCCCATAATCGTTCGACGCACATCCTCCCGGATGCACAATGCTGCGTCTGAGTGTCCCAACAAGAGGGTTGCGACCTGCAAACTGCCATGCCACATGGAGAACCGTCGGCGTGGAATGGGGGCACAGCAAAAAGCATGCCAAACAAGCAACCAAGGCTCAGCCGCCTGAAAAAGCAAAAGCAAACTTGATCCAAACACCACACACACACACACACACACATACACACACACACACATACACAACGCACCTATACGGCGTATACTAACACATAACCTTCCTTGCGACGTCTGGCTCTCCACGAGTCTCGACTCAAGTCACTTTCCATCTCGTCCAATCCTCCTTGAGGCGCTGTCTCAAGCACTTCAACCTACCTCGATATGCTTCAAACTTAAAAGACTAAAAACCTTCCGCCGACACGACACCGCTCCCGCCGCCAGCGTCCTCCATGGCTTCTCCGTCCCATCCAACGTTCGTCGGCCAGCCTGTCCACGACGCCTCAACACAGCTCTACAAAGTCAGCAATGACAACCAAAGTACGGACGCCTACTGACTTCCACTGCTGCTGCTGCTGCAACAGCCTGGACTCCTGACGACGTCTCTCTGCCATTGTGCCTGTCGCTTGCTCGGGAGCCACTTCGATGGACCCTGCGTGACACAAGATCGCTGCCACACGACCCCAATCGGGCCCGTACGCCGGAAACGCCTCATGCCCTTTTTCTGGCCACAGCTTCTACACTAACCACGCTTCGCGCCTCGACCTGCACCAAAATCGCTTGCGGAAGTGCATGCCTCCCGACGCCAGCTCTTTCGATGCTTCGAGCGTAGTCCTGAACGCCAAGAAGCCACCAGGTATCAAGCTCCCACTCCCGCCCTACGCCAACCCGAGAGCTTCGTCAGGTTGTTTCCGCTTTCGTTTTCCGTTGTTTGCCCGCTGCAGAGCGAACAGAAAGACATCCATCCCATATGCAATGCAAAACCATGATGCTGGTCCCGTTTCGACCAGCGGTCCCCCTGGCCGAACGCGTCCGCTCTCGGGGAGCCATGTCGCCCCTGATTCATGCAATTGCAACGGCGACATTGAAGCACGACTCCGTTGCTGGACGGCCGCCTCCCAACGTTCATTCAGATCAGCATCGTGCAGAGGAAAATAAATGCTGGTTTAGCGGGCCTTCAAGGGGCACCTGCAGCATCTGCGGATGCGTCCCGCAGAAACGAACGCCAGGCCGCGCCGGGGTCACCCCATGCCGTCTTGGCCATTGAGAATTAGTCCCAGGCTCCCGGCAGGGATGAGAGTCGTGGCTTGCCTCTGTCGACAGGGGACCCGTTTGTGGACGGATTGCACAACTCGTGGCATTCTGTCGAGCGGCGGCCATCGACTACCCAGATCGACGCACGTTTCCAGCACCATGACAGCTCGTTCGAGACGCCTAGCAGCAACGCGCCAGCATCGACCTTTCAGGGAGCCAGTAGAACCAGCCTGAGATGGAGGGTGCGCCCCGGGTCACCACCACCAGTCGGGGACTTTTTTCGTTGTTTTTTCCAAGCAACCGCCTGTGCCCGAGCCTCAGCTCAACGGCGGCCGTGATTGTGGACATTCGATCTTGGGCATTCGAGACCGGGCGTTGTGTTAGAAGCTTTGGATTCGCTCGGCCCGTATGGCCGGACCCCGATCAGCTGGGAAGGACAATCGAACCTCACGATTCGTGGTGTTCCGATGTAATGCAATCACCCAAAACGGGTTTTCAAGCTTTATGAGCTCTCAAAGAAGCATAGCTATGTCTACCAATCCGTAAGATTACTGTGCAATGGGCCCATGGCACGGGTTAGGGTGGCTCTGCTGAAGAAAGAACATCACCATTGCGTGTAATTGGCCGGAAGCGGCTCATGTTCTTCAACAAGAACGGTTGAATAATCGTCGGTCTCTGTAGTCCAGGCCAATAGAGACATCCACTGGAAACCAACAAAGGACCCAGTCAAGCGGAGCAGCTGAGAAAGCCGGTGGTATGGGAAACAGTGAAAATGGCCTTCAGCTTCGTCTAATGTCAGGCCTAGATCCGGAGGAGTGGTATGATGAGTGACGGAAATCGCGGGATGGCAGGGCCGCGCGGGGCAGAGCCTCCCCCGACGCCCACAAGCGTGAAGAAAGAAACGCGCGCAGACTCCAGGGCAGTCTCTGGTAGTACGGCACGGTAAACTTTCGGGCTCTGGCATTCTACCCACTGCATGGACTCCCTCCCGCCCAGCGCATGGAGTTGTCCATCCAGGTCGGTTCAAGGTTTTCACATCGGCACATGGCATCGCATCGGCGACCGTGG